TAATATAATTTATATTTTACGGATATCGATATATTGATAATTATCCAAAGAGCCGCAGGTTGCTAGTTAAAGAGCCACATGCGGCTCCGGAGCCGCAGGTTCCCGACCCCTGCTCTATGTTCATGGTCATTACTCACTACATGTCTGCAGATTTCTATACCAGTGGCGTACAGACTACAGAGATATTTTAAGAGCACATACAGTTAAAAGTTAGCCACCCACCCATTTGTTTTATTTATAACAAATATTTTCATTTATTATTCGCTGTAATTCAAAGAAATCAATTAGTATCGACTATAGTTTATGACTTATGTTATAAATGTTTTAATTTCCCTGTGAAACCTGCAGTAGTACACACCCACCCCCCTCAAGAACATATTATTATGCAGTTGCATTCCTTGCTAACCTGTCTGGGCGCCACTGTTCTATACTATCATAGAACAATAGAAGAAAAGAAAAAAACAAAAGAAACTGTAGAAGTCTGTGCATGCCTACACCTCATTCATTTTATTTTTCGTTCTTTATCAACATACAAACCCACGTGATAATAGTCCAAAGCTGGGCAAGTTAGTAATTATTTTTAACCAGGTTAGTAGGTATACTACTACTTATAYTAGGTTATTTATTAYTTTTAACTACCTAGTATCTATCAATCTACATAGTTAGGTTAGGTTAATGCAATGATTTTTCAGAAAACTTATTTGAATTTTTTATGTCTACTTGAGATCGGTCAGTCCACATTTAAGTACTTCTGAATCAAATCCTGAATAATCAACAGTAGTATTTACTAATTTTAAAATATTCAAACTCAGACATTGGACATAACAAAGAATTTAAATCAGTTTTAAAAAGTATTATCATATAACAAGGTTGAACGTTATGATGGACAAATGATTAGTATGTTTTGACTGTCCGCCAATGATGATCCCCTTATAAGAAAAAAATATTTGAGTTCCTGAAGGTTACATTGGGTAAACCACATAAAATTATCATCATAAAATGCACAATGAAATGATGTAACATATTATATTATGTATATCACAACCAATTGACGTACATTAATGATAAAGAGGGTGATGGGTGTCAAGTTGGACTTTATACAATTACCCATTTGAAATTTAAATGCTAGAATTATTTGTTATTAAATCTCTGCCATTTTGCTCTGATTAAATGACTGCCTTCAAGTAAAGTTCTCAATTATTCAATAAAATAAATAATAAAATAAATATACATCTGACATATCAGTTGTTTTATTGTTTTACTTATCATCAAATACGTAATGAAAAATGTCCTTATATTACAATCTAAAACCCTTAGAAAAAAAATATAATAATAATAAAATAAATATCATAAAAAAGTTATTAAGTAAATACATTAAAGCTAATGTAATTTTCCGTTTTGTTGATAATAAAATGTATGTACAATGTTTATGAGACATTTAAGACACTGCAGGCGCAGTGCAAAAATAATTGGTCACTAATTTTCAGGATAAAAAGTACATTTTGAATTAATTTTTACATTGGTATTCAATAGAAACTCAAACCTTTGTGTAGTGTAATAAATAAGAAAATGAAAAATAATCGGTTACCAACTCAATATTATAACTCAAATAAAGTATAATAATGAATTAAAATAAAATGTTTTCTGTTTTAGATAGAGATCTAGAAATAAAGAATTAAAAAGGTTTTTGATGAATATAAAATACAAAATGGCACTTAAGCAGTGCTAGATGAAGATGTTTGCTGCCCAGGTACTGAATACTGGGGTCTGAAATTGGTGAAGTTAGTGTTGCCGAACGCACCATTTAATTGTCCATTTTGAAAACCATTAGGGTATTGATTGCTTATGGCCCCAACTAAATTAAAAAAAAAWTTTTTTATTTATTGTGATGCAAAATAAAAAATAGCTTTAAATATAAAAATATTATTTACCTCCAGATTGTTGTTGGGAAGTAGATGTAGCCGAAGATGTGGTAGCAGCTAAACGAGATAATATAGATCTTTCAGACATTTGAAGTCGCTGGGCAACAGGTGGTATACGAGCCAGAGTTGCAGGTAATCTACTTACATCAGATTTCATATCTGATAAAAGTTCTTCCAATTGATTTAATACCTAAAAAAACAATGTCAAACATTTTAGTTTTGAACCTACAATTATAACATTTTATCTATACTTTGTGAAGAACAGCATTGGCCGGTTTGTTGCCAGCTAAACTTTCTTTAGATAAGTGTTGATGTGATTCAGCCAAACACTCAACCTCAGCAAACCGAGCATTCAATGACATTGCTGGATGATTTGGATCTTGTGTAAGGTTCAAATAGGCAGCTCGCCTTAGTTGTTCCTCAATAACAAGCGCTTGTTCCAATAATTTAAATCTTCTTGCCAAGAATTTGTTTTTAATTTCCAAGAAGTTCCCTTTACCTACATCCATTTTAAAAGGCTCATTGATGATAGCAAATCGGATATCATTTTGAATATCTTGCCAACGCCCATAACCATGTGTTACAATACCCGCCAATAACCAATAATCATGTCTTAAAAAAAATAAAACAATACAATAAACATAAAATGACGTATACATATTAACAAACATTTTAAATGAATATTATTCTTTGGCTAAGCTCATACCTTCTGTGCCAGATTTCATATTCTCGTCCAGGAACAGCTGCTTTTTCTTCGTTTACCCACAAAGTATGGAGTTCAGTAAAACCACCATCAGCAATGTTAAACATAAACTTCCTAGTAATTTTATCCTCTTTATCATTTTCAGTGCCAATGCCAGCAGCCACTTTAGCTCTTTCAGCTTCTTCTAATAATTTTTTCTTAGTTTCATCATCTGCTTGCAGTGCCTTTGCTGAGGCTTCAGCAGCTTTTATTTCTTCCTATAAAGTTGAAAATTGTAAATTATGAAATTATAAAAAAATAAATAAACAAAAAACTGGCACATACTTCTTTTTTATCAGCAATAGAAGGTTCAGATTCCTTTTCTTTTTCTTCTTCTTCTTCTTTCTTTTCAATTTCAGATGTTGCTACAGAATTAYWTTCTTTTTGTTCTGTTGATGAAGTGTCAGACTGTTCAACCTTGACAACTTCATTGTCATTTTCTTGAGTGGTTTCTTTTTCTGGTATTTTTTCTTCAATTGGTTTTTCTTTTTGAAGATTCACTGCTCCTTCATTTTCTTCTTTAACAACCTGAAAAAAAGATGTACACAATATAATACAGGGCTATATTCTAAAGCAGAATAGTACTAGACATATATAATAACACACATGGTACATGTACATGCTTAACATCTATTTTATGAAAAAAATATTAGGACAAAGAATCAACTTTAAAGATTATCTTAAAAACAAGAATCATTGGGGTTAGTTCCCCATTTGCTGACTCAYTTGCACTAGTCTGGTGAACCAAAAAATACCTAGATACTTAGTCCAGGAAGAGAATACTATATAAAAGGCCTATTTATGATGTATCTCTGTCACTTAGTCTTCAGTTTCACACCAGTCTATTAATTATCATTGAAGACTTAAAAAAGTTATGTCTTCGGACATAATTTTGGAACTTGTTTTAAATAAATAYATTAATTTTTGATAAAATGTTGCACAAAATAGTTATATTATCTACTAAACAAACTACTCAACTTTAAACATCATTGAATGGTCAATTATTGATTGATCGTGCATACAACAATAATAATCAAATCAGATACTATCTAGCAGCAAAAAATCAATGAAATTCATTGCTAAAAATGATTTCATCACATTTGAGTTAAATATTATGGTAGATAAGAATACTAAAAACAATATTAATTATAATAATCAGATCAGATACTATCTAACAGCAAAATCATCAAAAWAATTCATTGCATAAAAGTTCTACATCATTTCTGACTATGTTATTGTAACTTATTTAAATTAACATATCTTCATAACAAAAATGTATTAATCGTTAAAAACTTTTACTTACAGATGTTTCTTCTGGATTATCAGTTTTAGCAGATAATTCATTTTCAATTTTAACAGGAGTTGTGTTAGTACTTTCTTCAGATTTAATTTCTATTGGCTTATCATCAGTTGTTGCTGGTGTTTCTTTTGGTTTCTCCTCAGGATCCTTTAGAATATAAATAAATAACAATTAACAATTTAATAGTTAGATAAAAATTAAACATTAAGGTCTGATGTGGCACAGTAGTTGAATGCAGGCGCTAACTAATTTGAGATCAAGCATCACCCGGTCTTACTAGCTTTTGGACAGGTGATACTTGATCTCAGATTCAAATTCAATGACAAATCCTTGCCTCATATACTCGTGTTCAAACCAATCGTACTCTCCCTCAACAATAAAAATTAACTAATAGCTTTCAGGCTAGTGACTTTATATGCTGAAGTTTTAACTCAATAAAAATATATGTATGTAGTGTAAATACTTCACTAATTATTATATACAGTGTGTAACAGAAAGATATGACAAATGAAACATATAAAAACACTAAATTCTGTTATTTCTTTATGTTTCACACTGTATATATTAATTAGTGAAGTATTTAACTTACTTTAGGTTTATTTTCCGTTTCAACTTCAGCTTTTTCTGATACAGTAGTTGTAGGTGTTGAAGCTTCAGAACGTGGAACAGGTGTTGAACTAGTAGATGCATCAGCTGCTTTGATAGTTTGAATAGGTTTACGAATAAGCTCTGGCATACTGTAGAAACCATTAATTTCTTCAAATTCTTGAACCTTCAATTTTTTTTCAAAAAAACAAATTAATGAAATTGAAATAATATTTAATAATATACACTCTATAAATTGCTTACTTTTTTACGAATTAGTGACATAACACCAATTCTTGTGAGTACATGTTGTCGACTTAGACCTTCACGTGGTACGCCATCAGCAAAATTTTCAGAATTATCAGCACCAGGTTCACACAAGTGACGCATAAATAATGAAACATATGCTTTAAAATTTTTTTCTGATTTTCCTCTCAAATCTCTTACAAGCCTAATTACATTGTTATAAAAATGAAAAAATAAATTACATGATTGATACAGTTAATAACAATGTAAATCCAATATTACCATTGAGAGTTAAAGGCATCTTGAGGTGGCATTCCATACCTCATGATAGCATTTAAGAAAGCCTTTCTTTGCCGAGCATTAAATCCAAGTACCTTAGAAAATCAAAAAATTCATAGTTAAATACTAATAAATCATTCTTTACTTAACAGGATTTCTCAATTGTATTTGTTATTTCTGAATGTAGAATTAATTACGTAATGTATCAAAMAAATATTAGATGGGGCAAAGATATAAATTTAAATTTGGTAATAATAAATAATTTGATTTGCTCACATTAACACTATAACTAWAACATAGATATGAATTCACTACCATACTAACATGCAGTCAAAATTATGAAAGGAAGAAAAAAAACTTAAAATTGTCTATTATGGTAAAAATTCACAATTTGTATTCAATAATTACTTTAAAAAACAAATTACGCAACTTACAATGAAAATATTATATTTTAGTGCTCACTAAAGAGTATTATTACATTTTCTGCTAGACTAAATATTAGTTATTACAGTAGTTAATTTTATGTGTTATAATATGTATTTTGTTAAAATATGCAAAGAACAWTTACCATGACTTTCACAATTTTACAGTTTGAAAAGAATACTGACAAAAATCTCAAAATGTGATAAGGAAACAATATWCGATTRCATAAAAATGCACACTCTGACTATAACTTTTAAACTTAACAGAATTCCGCATCAAGTGGCATTTTTTTYATGTATTTAAAACTGAAAGAAATAATGTAGTGTCCCACACTGATCTCGATTCTATTTGATATTGATACATAACATAATCAACTAAACCACTGCTGTCATATTAATTGTCCATAAAGCACACAAGTGAATATGTTTATTAGTAGTTATTTTCTAATGTAGATTGTTTTTAAAGTTCAATTTTAATGTAGAAAAAGGCCTTTAATAAAAGCACAGATCACTTAATATGCTATTATTCTAAATCTGTTTCCTTTTATTTTCCAATTGGGTAAACACAACATTTAATAAACTCTTAATGTTTGATTAACCCACACTTGGATAAATGTATGTATTTGAATGAAATTATTACTYACCTCAATGTTTCCACCAACTCTAGCCAATAAAGGAGGCAAAGGTCTATCTCTTTCTTCTTTTCTTTCAGGTTTACGTTTAAGTTTTTTACCAGCTTCACCATCTTTTTCATCAAAGTCGTCATCTTCTTTGTCATCATCTTTAAATTAAAAAATATCAAAAACAAAAAAAGGGGTTTTCTATTTCAGAAATCATACCTGATGGAGCAGAGAAATCTGAATTATAATCAGATAGATTTTCTTGCCAAGTAGTATCTTCACGAGTTGAATCTACAACACCACCACCATCATTATAGTTTACTTGTTTTCTAACTCGTTTTCCTTTGCCTAATGTTCTGGAAATATCTTCTTGATGTTGCTCATAATGATGACGAAGCAATTTAACCCAATATGCAGGATCAGTATTTTCAGCTTCTTGTTTAATAACTTCTGTATTAGCTTCTTCTTCTTCATCTTCTTCTTTAGTTACATAACTAGCCACTTTGAATGAAGACAAATATTCATTTGACCAATTTTCTTTTTGTTCAATACCAATTTTTGAACGGTCTAATAGTTCTGCAACTGCTTTATCATCGTAATGAATAGCTTCTTCTTCTTTACCCTAGTGTATACAATTACAATTTATTTAGATGTAAAATTAATTTTTTGCAATAAAAAAATAGTATTAAATACCTCTTCTTCTTTAAATAGTTCTTCAGTTCCAAATCGTAATATGTCATCCAATTCTTGTTTTGTAAAATTAGTTTGTTTTCCTCCCATACCAGGTCTTACAACTAAGTGAGTCAACATCATTTTTCTTTTGGCTACTTGGGTAACTCGTTCTTCAACTGAATTTCTTGTCACAAAACGATATATCATAACCTAAATTAATATAAATCAGGTTTAATAATCATAATAATTGCATTTATAATTTACATTATGTACTAAACAAATTATTACTTTATTTGCTTGACCAATACGATGAGCTCTTGAAAAAGCTTGAATATCATTATGAGGATTCCAATCAGAATCATAAATTATGACTGTATCAGCAGTTGCCAAATTGATTCCCAAACCACCAGCCCTTAAATATAAATATTAATTATACAAGTGTGTCAAAAAATTTGGTTTATAACTGTCATTAAATTAATTTATTTTACTCCTGTTAAATAAAAAAATTAATTTACTTATTTCATAATAATATAAATGAAAGTTTTTATCATAGGTAACTAAATATAATTATAATTTTCTAATTCAATAATAATAACTTAATATATTTCTCTGAAATACCTGGTTGAGAGCAAGAATACAAATTGTTGAGCACCAGGAGCATTGAATCTATCAATTGCTTCTTGTCTTTGATTTCCCGTTATAGAACCATCAATTCTTTCATATTTATAACCTTCTCCTTCAAGATAATCTTCAAGAATATCCAACATTTTTGTCATTTGAGAAAATATTAAAACTCTGAAACGATGATTATAGTCTTATGTAATTACTGAACAGATAAATACATAATTTCTGACATCATTGATTAGAATACCAATTCTTTAATGTCTTATTTATTTTAAGCTCAAAGTAAAGATGCATTTAATATATTAATATTCATAATGTATGTTAAAGATAAAGATATGTATTAAGTATATTTAATTTACCGATGATTTGTTTCATTGAGTATTCTGAGCATTTTAGATAATAAAACTAGTTTTCCAGCTGCTCTAGTGAGACCACCAATTTCATAACTTCCATTGATAGTAGTTGGAGCTTCTTGAGCAGCCGCAGGGAAAAGGTATGGATGATTACAACACTTTTTTAAATCCATCATAATATTTAATAAGGACACTTGCTGTCCTCCACCTCTTGGATTAAGAGCTTCAAAATTTCGTGTTAAAATATATTTATAATATTTCTTTTGCATTGGAGATAATTCAACACGTACAATGAACTCTGATTTTGAAGGCATATTCTAAAATTTAGGTATTAATAGTAAATAGTAAATATATATTTAATTTTATAAAATAGAAATATACCTTCAAAACATCAGCTTTTAATCTTCTAAGCATATGAGGACCTAACATTTCGTGAAGACGTTTGACTTGCTCTTCTTTTGAAATATCAGCAAATTCGTTTTGAAAAACTGTTAGATCATTAAACTTTTCAGGTGTCAAAAAATTTAATAAATGGAATAACTCTTCTAGATTATTTTGTAGAGGAGTACCAGTTAATAGCAACTTATTACGTATATTATAGCCAGCCAAAAGTCTAAAAAACTGTATTACAACAATTATATTAGGTAAAATAAAAAAATATAAACTAATTAACATAAAATGGCTATTATGTAATTACTTTTGACTGATTGCTTTTAAGCCTATGAGCCTCATCCACAACTAATACAGCCCATTCAATTGATCCTAATAATGGAGCGTCTATTGAAATTAGTTCATAACTTGTAAGTAATACGTGGAATTTAACTGCGCCTTTTATCTTATTACAACGTACACCAGAACGAGTATCATCAAATGAAAATTCATTTTCTCTAATTGTTACTCTAGAGTCTTTGTCTCCTACATAGGAGACAACATAAAAGTCTGGTGCCCATGTTTCAAATTCACGTTCCCAATTAATAAGTGTCGATAGTGGTACACTCACCTAATATTTAGAAAAACAAGCAATAAATAAAAATAAGAGATTCACGGTCTTATGATACTCACCAAAAATGGACCTTTGCAATGTCCTTCCTTATAAAGAGAGTATAAAAATGTTATGGTTTGAATGGTTTTTCCAAGACCCATTTCATCAGCTAATATAGTATCAATGCCTTGACCCCAAGAATATCTTAGCCAGTTTAAACCTTCTAACTGATAAGGATGCAATTCCATACCAGTTTCGGATACATAATCGGGTTGCTTTTCATATTTCTTTTTTAAATCAGATACTGGTTTATCAGGAGCCGGCACAAATTTGCGACTAAAAATAAATGTAATGAAGATTAGATTTAAAATTAAATAACATAAATATATCTCAAATATTCAMTTAAACAACAAAATTTTGCTTTAAGAGCAAAACAAATAAAATAACAAAGCAAATTTAAGCAATGTAAAATGTTTAAATTTGTTTTTGAAAAATTTGTTCTACTATTAAGAAAAACACATAAAACTACTGCTCATCTTTATTATTTTAATTTGATGAAGTGTCCTGACAAGGTCATCTCACTTATTAATATAGATTTCTTTACATTTACATACCAAGTAAGTCCCATTGTGGCTTTAGGTGTTTCTTCGTCATCAACTGAATCCTTTTTACTACTGCTCTTTTTTCCTTTCACTTTTTTGGTTTTCTTTGATGTATCACATGATGCCCTTAGTTCCTATTATTAAAAACCAAATATTTAACAAATATAAAATTCAAAAATTAAATGCTAAATTTACCCAATAATAATCAATAAATGATTTTAAATCTGTATATTCAGGATTTTCATGTTCCCATGTAGCTAAGCTATATGGCAAGTCTCGCCATTTAACTAAATACATCATACGTGCATCTCTTAAATGCTTATGATTTAGAATTCTATGGACCAATAGCCATTCTGGTTTTACACCATATCTAAAACAAATAATATTATAATAAATATCAAACAAAATTATTCTGAATTTAATGATAATACCTGTAAAATTTTTCTTCTAAGGCAGATTGATCACCACCAACTTCACGAAGTCTTTTCCATCGGTTGTCTAATTCATCTAATGGTTCTTCTAATTTAGGGGGTTCATCCATATCATATTTTCGCATATAACTTCTAATAGTAATTGGATGAAAAACTTCCATCTGTATAATATGTTTGATTGTTTAGAATCAAAATAAGTAATAATATAATATTTCAAAACTTAAAGGGAATATTACTTGAACTTCAGACACCCAGTCACATTTCCAGTAACTCTGATCTTGCCATTTCACAAAGTATTCTCGTTGCCTTTGTTGTTTATTTCGTCGTCGGTTAACCTTTTCAGATTGTTCATCAACTGGTTTATTAGGATCTTCTGGTATTGGTTTCCAACGCCAAGTTAAGATTTTTGAAACTTTCCCTGGTAATGGTTTTGCCTAATGATATCATAATAAAAATAAATTGTTCAACAAGTTAATTAATTATAATTCATCCTTACTGAACATCGAGGACACTTCCAATCACCATCAGGTACATCAGTAATAGGGGGACTCAAACAGAATGTATGATATGCGGCTGGACAAGAATCGCAACATAAAAGTTCACCTCCATCTTTACATACTCTATTATTGTAGTAGAAAATGTATTAATTTTAAGTTAGTCTATGTAGATGTAATTTTTATTATGTGGAAAGGAATAATTACCTGCAAAATTCTTGATGTTCATCTTCTTCTTGTTCTTGACCACCTTCGCTTTCACAATGTGGACAAGACCATTTTCCTTCAGGTGTATCTTCCAACTCTGGATCCAAACATACAAGATGATATGCTCTTGGACAAGTATCGCATAAGATAATTTCTCCTCCTTGTTGGCAAACCTCACAGTAATCTTGATGATCTGTTTGCTAATGTGAAAATCAGTGAATACGTTAAGTTTGGTCTTATACATGAAAAATTAATAATAATACCTAAATATAAATATAGAGTTATACACTTACTTCATATCCTTCTTCTCCATCACCACTACCATCTGGGAATTTGGAAGTCATTTTGGTCTTTTTCTTCTTTTTAGACTTATTACCAATTTTGGTTTTTGCTTTCTTTTTAGGAGCATCAGGATCTTCAGCCTTCTTTTCAGGCACTTCAGCTTCAGCAGCTGCACCTTCTTCAGCTTCTTGCAGCATTTGCTCAAATTCTGCATCTGAATCACCTTGAGTGTCTCCAGCTCCCACACCTTCAGCATCATCATCCTAAACAAAGATATAAAAATAAAATCAATTGATTATTAACATATTAGCAAACAAATAAACGTTTCATAATTTCCTAAGAAATTAATTTGAATTTAAACTAACAGAACTTGCTTGTTTGCGTTTTCCAAGCCTTATTTTTAATGTGGGAACTTTAGAGGTTGATCCTTGTGAATTTCTCTTATTACCACCACCACTACGCTTAGCGCGATTACTTCGTTTTTTACTCTTCTTTTCTTCTACTTCTACTTCTTCTTCTTCTTCTAATTCATCTAATTCATCCACTGATCTTGACTGAAAAATAAAAAGTTATATTGTAAAACTTAATTAACTAACAAACATAAATGTTACAATCCATTTAATTTATGAAGTGAATATTTTTGGATATTATAGTTAAATTTAATTTCAGCTCRAAATTAAAGTTAAATGCTTTTAAATATTTCAACTTATACAACACACACCTTGTGTCTAGAAGTTGAACTTTTAGGTTGGTATTCAGGTTCTTCGTTTGCTTCAAATTCTGGCTGTTCTTGGTGTGGGTTTTGTTGGCAGAAATCACGCCACTTTGCAGCAACTAACATCATCATTTTAGCAATTACAACCTATAAAAAAAAAATATTATAATACCAATCTAAATTTGTGATATTAATATTCTTACCTTAGGATTTTCTTTGGCAAGAATAGGCCTAACATGTTGCTGAAATAATTTGTAAGTGGTTAAATTTTGATAGTCAGCATCAGTGAAATCAATTGAAACATCTTGTAAACCAAATGTTTGACAGACTTCTTCAACTGATGGCATTCCAGCTAAAATTGGTAATAAAACGGGTAAGTTTTTATTTACTTTTATAATTCAATAGTTTAAAAAAATGCCGTACTGCCATTATTATCTTGAGATGTAGTGGGCTGATGATGCTTAGAGGAAGAGTTTTTTGATTTCTTTGACTTTCGATTGGAATAATCTGAGTCATTAGCGGCAGTAGTTTCTTCTTCAAAATTCCCAAAATCACTTTCCTATAAAATTAAATATATCTTAATAAGTATAAACCTAAGTTAAAATGCAGTGTTTAATTAGAACAAATACCTCAGCACTATCTCCACCTCTTTTTCTTTTCTTTCTTTTCTTTTCCTTTTTAGAATCACTCTTTGCTTTACGCTTTTTACCTCGCTTCTTTTTTCGACCATCAGGATCATATTCATCATCTTCTTCCTAAATCAAATAAATAAATAATAAACAAAAATAGAAATATGTTTCTGTTTAAAAATGTATGAACTTAATTACAAGCATTGGGAGTGGATGATAATACTAACCTCTACACGTTTTTCTTCCTCAGAATCAAACGAGTTTTCTACACGACTTGATGGTTCATCAAATTCTTCTAAAAGTAAATAAAATATAAATKAATTTTCAACACAAACTAGGTAACTAAACATAAAAATCAATTTTATTTAGCTAATAATAAAAATCTATAACTATAAGAGTAYCTAAGTACTACTCTGAAATAATTGTTAACTGCAATTTTATTTTTGTGTGTATGCATTAGTAAAATATTAATAGACATTAGGCATTATTGAAACTAAATAATATAGTACCTAAAAAGTATATTTTGATTACCTAGGCTACCTAATTATTTTTTGAATATAAAATACAAGTGTAAAATAAGTACCATATATTTATATTTATAATAATCTATGGCTTAAAATGACCAGCTACTGTAATTATTTTTGAARTTTAAGGTTTATTTAGGTATACACAGGCACACAGCAAGATCAGAGATGAGTTTATCAATCAAGTCGTAATTTTGATGTATACTTTTATAACAAACAGGAACTTATCTTCAAGTAGGTACCTACCTAAATAACCAATTAATTGGACGGTGAATAATGCGATGAATCACGATACAAAATGCACCTACCTATGTGTGAAGAACAGGCTAATAATATGTATCAAAAGACACAGAGTTGGGTGACAGGCAWGTCAGCGAACATTAATGAATTGATAAGCATTTGAGCAAAAATCCTATTCTAGTAAGTAGAAAAACTGTACTGGCTTGTGAGAAAGCTGAAACYTTTTCAATTTTCAATGATAAAATCAAAACATAAGCTGAATAATTGAAAGCCAAACGTGTTGAACGGTGGGACGGTGGGAGGGCTTTGGATAGGTAATGACACGGGAAATGAGGTAAACCTTGTGGGTACGAGGTAACATGAACATCGGAAATTGATATGGAAAGGTAGTGTAATTATCATTATTGGTGGATACAGTGAAAAATCCAGCAGCGGCACCGTTCCACCATTTTGTTTACGTTTGGCCCCATTCGCGAAAACTCGGCGGCGGCACGGCCCTAATGAGCCGATTATGCAGTGGTGGTGGAGAGGGGGGGGTTGACGAGACGGAACGGCGGTGGAGGGTAAGCGCGCGCCGCGGGGACGACGACACCGGCGGCGAAAAAACCGCCGTCGTCCTCGTCGACGAGGAACTTTAAGCGTCGTGCATTATTACCGGTGAAAGATTCCTCGACTTCCTCGTCCGATGCCATCGCGTTTGCCGGTGATCTACTGGCCGCCGCTGTGCACGTTGGATATCACCATCGGACGCTGACACCACGACGGACGGAGCAGCGAATGCGGTGCGGTTGTACTCGAACAACACGCGTACCGCCGTTGTCGGTTTGTTGTGGTTTTATCGCCGTTGTTGTTGTTATGGTCGTTGTTGTCGTAGGGCGACGCGATTACCGTTGGCGGCGAACAGCGGTAGACGCCGAGAACAGAAAACAACACTAAACCGCCGAAATGAGAAAAAATTAATAATAATAATAATAATAATAATAATAAACGATATAAGTGTAATATCGCGTTGTAGACGGTTCGCGTTGTTTGGTTATTGTCTTTGGAGTACCCACACGGGGGAAAAAACGCGATCGGCGTTTGTGCGCGTGCGCATTGGATGCCGCGCTTGTGGAAAACAGCGCCGCAGTTTTTGGTGGTGGACGATTTCGGAACGACCGCGTCCAAGAACCGACTAGTCAGTAGACAGTAGRCRGTGTGGTTCGGTGCGCGGGGTAGCGGTTCGGCGGCGCGGCGGTGTTCGTGTCGACTCTTTACTTCTTTAGCTACACTGTTGTACATAAACATACGTACGACCTGGGTGAACGGGAAATGGCGGTGGTGGTGGGGGTGATGGTGGTAGTTACGTCAAATGTTGGGTGGTGGGGAACAGGGAAAAATTATTACGGGGAAAAAGAGAGTGAAAAAAAAACTGAGGAAAAAAGGAAGGGAATCGCGTATACAATTTTTTTAATATCATGCTTTGATGCATTCATGGCATTCATGCTCAATAGTCAATGCTCAGTCTAATGGTTCACGCTCCCGATGGCCGATACTGACGATGTTTCAAATCAGGATCACATTCATTATTATTAATAATGTCATTTCAACGCGTTTGGTAGGATAAGGACGTCTACACATAATTTTGTAAACATAATATTTGTATTCTATAATTCATTACCGTGGTGGCGTGGTAAACTGGTAATAAAGTTTTCGCCCGAAAAAGTGATTTGAAGATATATTTCGTATTGAAAAATTTGAAATCAAGATCCTGTCGTGGCACCTAACAATTTTGTTATCTGTAAATCTGTATTAAGTTTTATAATAATGTATAAGTACCTAGGCGCGTAGCTAGAAATTTCTAAGGGGGGGGGGGTGTTATTCAAAATTAATTGAAAAAATTATAAACACAAAATTGATAACTTTACGTAGGTATATGATAGTTCATCATGATAATCAAATAAGCAATAATTAAGAAGTTGTAAACGTTTTCTTACACGCTGTATAAAAAGATATATTAAATCGTGCATGAAACGAGTAATCGATAAAACGTCACAAAACGGTCTAAAATAGTAATTAGTGCCGGATCCCGGCTTTAGTGCTTTACATTATTGTTATCGTAATATAAACTAATATACTTCATWTTGATAAATAAGTGTAAATCACGATTTAAGATAATTCGTGCTTATGATGCATCTTTATCTTGATAAAGAAATATTAAGTATACCACGGCTGYGGGGAGGGGGTGTTATTACACCTGTAACACCTCCCCTGGATACGCACCTGGGTACTTAATAATTAATATCAGTCAGTGTCGTTAAGGAACGATACCTGGAATAATTGATCCCTTGTTAGAGGAACGAATGTGTGGAATTAATTAATTTCATTATTTTTTAGAAGAATAGGAACGTGAATTAATCCCTTTCTTTTTGGGAATAGAAACGTAAATATTATAATTCTTTTGTATAGTGCCTATAATAAATAATAATTAATATTAGGTATGTACTATTTGAGATGTAAATATGTAATTGAAATAATATTTTGTACACATTAATTGACAATTGTACATATTTAAAATAAAAATATTTTGGTACTAAAATAATTTGATAAAGTATTAATGTAAACTAAGGTAACTAGGAACCAGGTACCTTTATAGAGGAACGAGGAAAAGAACGAGTTCCTTTTTTATAGGAACGARGAATTGAACGATTTCCTTTTAACATTAACTGAACGAATTTTTATTTATACTAGAGAAACATAAAAAAATGCGGGTGGGTTGAAGTGTTGAACTGATATTATGCCATGTGACTATAAATTATAATGATATCGTCATGATAATACTGTGGATTCTTGCTAAATGCGAGAAATGGGCATTAGCACCGACGTTCAACGACAAAGTCGACAACGTCTATATACAAGATCTAACCTACAAATAATTTGTGTTTTGAATAATCTAAGGCTGTGCGAATAATGTATATCTACGATTAGTTACCTATACATTTTCAATAATATAAATTTAAAGATTAAGGTATTGAAAATAAATACCTTTTTTTTGTGCATCACCACATGGAGGTCGTACTGTTTTCCAGTGTCAGTCTGGTACTTAAAGGGCCCCGGATGCATTTCTTCAGAAGGACCCCCAAACATGTTATTAAATAAAAATGATAAAAAATGCTTATAAGTAGTGAAATATTACATTTTTAGTAATATCGGGGCCCCTCGACACAAATACGCCGGGGGCTCCGGATGCGTTTGTCGGCCTGACACTGCTGTTTTCACATGACGTAGCCCTCATGCAGCATCGTTTATTTTTTTAACTATTTACAACTTTGATATGACTCCTGATGGCAGGAATAGCCTTCCTCGACGGATACTGATATATATGCGTATATTCCATACCATCTGAGATCTTACAATTAATTGTAATTTTACCATCTTAAATCTAATAATTACATTATAACGTCTCGTCTGGGTTTTCACGAGCTGACCTAATTTCGCCGCCCTAGACGTCCCGTTCCTTGAGTTCTCTACTCAGATCAGCCAAACCCGTCGTCTTCGACTTGGCGTCCTTGTAATTCTTTTCTCAAGCCAGTCTGAGCCCACTACTCTTGAAGTTCGTTTGGTAATTAAATCTCTGCGGTACCTGCCACTAATCGAGTCTCATCCTCTTTGAGTGTCAAGATCTTCTCCACCATTTTGTGGAAGATCCTGAGTGTTTCTTCAGTTTCATAAAGTGCGATCCCAACAAAAGAAGTTGGTCAACCGGGAGGTCTTCGAAGACTGGTTCACATAGTATCTTCTGCACGTCTGTGACCACTTGGAGAGTGGGAGGGGGATGGCCCAAGCGCTCGCAAAGCTCTGTGTGGAGGCAATTACTGTTCTCGCAGTAGAAGATCGTGTGCTCCGCTGTGTCTGAGACACACGGATAGTGCATGCATCTCGGGCTAGTGGCCTTGGTGAATCGGTGTAAGTTGAACTAGAAGCACTTGTCCGTGCGAGTAGAAGACTGAAGGCTGAGTAGAAGGTGCCACTTCGCAATGGTTGCTTTCCTCTCGAGTTTCTTAATTTTCAAATTAATTATAATTGTCTTTTTTTTTTGGTGCTTTGAATTAATAACTTTTCGATTAATAATTATTGTTTTATGATTTCTTGGAAAAATTTCTGATAAATGCAGACATGTGTTTTTAATAATAATTATTTTAAAATAATTTCAGAAAGTTTGGTTTTAATAATAATCCGTTATGAATCGTCACCTATTATTTTTGGGGTCCCACATGATAGTTTCGGTAGTAATAATATTAAATGAATATTAGATATCAAATCGTTGACTTTATATAGTAAATCTTAGTGTTTTACTAAGAAAGAAAAGAAGAAAAGATTAAAAATTAAATTGTTGTAGCTTGTAGTTGATATTATACCAGAATATAGATAGATTCATCTATAGGTATATTAGGTGTATCCATGCACATATTATATAATGTACGACATAATATATAACTATATAAGTAATATAGAATTTAAAACATTTAAAAATCTATAGTCGATGTATAATATTGGATGAAAATTTGAGACTTGAATTTTTCATTAATTTTAAACATAGGCACTAAGGCATGAAGCCTAACATTTTATATACCTATCAATAATAATGAAAGGTTAAGTGCTGCCAGTGATGGTAATATGATACCATAGATTATATTCTTATATTTATACCTACCTAGTAGATATATTATCTATTATTAATGTATAATGAAGTACAGGAACTAGATTGTTATTATTTTGATATTTTATAGTTTTTTTTACTTTAATTACCTATACATTTATACCTATCTACTTGATGACCGGGGCTGTTGAATAAAGTTAGTACAAATATTATTTTAGTAATTATCTAACCAATGAAATTTCATTATTTTTAAACACAATAATTGTAGACATTCAATTTTGATAATATATTAAATAATTTTTAAAATAGTTATATATAGCTTAAAATGCACGAGATTTTGTGACTACATGGGTCTTGTAAATTTGCATAATTAACAGTATTCGTCAATGTTTTGTAAATTTTATTTTATTTGAAAGGAAAACTGTATGGAAAAAAATACTATTGTTAAACATGGTATTTACGTATATGATGAATATTGAAATACAATATCCATTTTATATCTAATACCTAAATACTAAAAACGTGTAGTTTTTACTCCTTTATTGTTAAAAATATTTAATTTAATAATCTTAAAATATGGAACAAATTTAAATCGTTATTTCTATTACCTGTTTCAATTACCAATGGTTTTTTGTAATTAAAAAAACGAAAATAGAATTTATTAAATGTATTTATAATTTGGTCTATATAGGTCTTAACATAGGTAATATTAAATGGTTTGAAACTTAGAAAATTCCAAAATCATCCATAAAATAAAATGTAATTATATCATTGTTTTAAGCTAAAATTGTTTTCGAACTGATTTTTCATTAATTTGAATTTAACTAGGTAACTATTAATCATTACCTATACTAATAGCCAATAGGTATACTTATATACTACTATATCAATATTTAACATGCAAAAATATATATATATTGGGTTGGTATGGTTTTCAAAATAGAAATTATTTTATAAGAGTTCAGATCAAACGAAATATCTTTTAAAACAAAACAAAAAAAAGAGGCCAAGATAGCAAAGGCAGATGCTCCTGAACAGATTATCGATCGCTCAGTCTTGGTTTTTAATGAAAATGTATGTACATAACCGAGGGTGGGATTGGTGGAGGCGTGGAACCATTCCCTGTGCACACCCCGCCGAACCTTTGACTGGAATAAAAGTATCATCTATAATTTTTTATTAATACAAGTGTGGTAACTGTATCTGGTTGAAAGGCCTTGGTATAACTGTACAGAAATGCTATTGCAACTTAAATGTTAAACAATAATTATACCATAATCTTATAAATTATAAACCAATATTAATATTATATTATAAAAACAATATTCACATAAAAAAAGATATGTTCTAAAAGTTTATTTATTAGTATAATTAAAATAGAAAAAAATTGTATTTTTAAATATTTAT